ATCATATTCTGCAAAATGAAATGTAGTAAGACAGCTTAAAGGTAAAGGTTGCACTTGCACATATGTGCTAGTCGTTCCCAACTCTAGGGGGCAGAGCTCATCTCTGTTTCAAAGCCGAAGAGCCAGCGGTGTCTGAAGATGTCTGTGGTCATGTGGCCAGTATGACTAAATGCTGAAGGCGCATGGAACACTGTTATCTTCCCACCAAAGGTGGTCCCTATTTTTCTACTTGCATTTTTACATGCTTTTGAATTGCTAGGTTGGCAGAAGCTGGGACAAATAACAGGAGTTCACTCTGTTACGCAGCGCTAGGGATTTGAACTGCCAAACTGCTGACCTTTATGATCGACAAGCTCAGTGTCTTAGCCACTGAGTCACCGTGTCCCTCTTACAAGGTACAAATAACCCTAGGATATAAATGTCCTTTCTACTTTTAATTGTTTAAAAGGCATTGCTGCAGTATATTGTCTGGGATATTAAGTCACAATATTAGAATCATGAATTGGAATACTTTTATTTTTGGCAGAAACTGTACTTTGTTTTACTGCTTAGAAAAATTAAATCTATTTAAAAAAAAAAACATTAAGAGTTGGAATTCTCCAGAGCAAAACCAATTCATCTCTCACCTAATCAATGCAATGGTTCTTATAAAAGCTATTTAAGGAATAAAACAGTTAAGAGTGACAGAAAGATATTTTTGTTCCTTTGTCTTTTTGAAATTGAACTTTTAAGACTATACACTGCATCTTCTGATTCACATCTGTAACAAGTTTCTTGTGGTTTCAGGCAAGTGGAATGTCTTCCAGTACAATAATGAGCATATGCATTTTACTTACAGGGTTAATGTCAGTAGAGGATGTGGGCGCATTGTGGCTTACAGGATTTGCAGAGACATTCTGAGACTCTATTTGATTCAGCACTTCATTCTGCATAATAAAAGATTCTGGAAATAGAAAAAATAGTGGTTTCAAAGCTATAAAAATAAAATAATCTTTCCATAGCTATCTCTGGAGCTGTAACACGACCAACAAAAAATGTTACATGGCATTTGATTTCACACGAAGAGGTGTGTTTTTTTTAACTGCGTCATACTTGGAATGTCAGATACATTTTGTAAATTGCAGAAGTGTTACTTGATTCGAATGAATAAGAAACTTCTATAGTTAAGCAGGGACGGTGTAGGTAAGTCTGCTATTCCTGTATGTTGTGTTATCACAGCATAAATAAATGTTCACATGGGTGCTTTGGAAACTGCTTCTGTCTCCACAAAGGACAGCTGCAAGCAGATTCCAAAGAATCACACTGAGGCTAAAAATCATTTGAAGAAAGGGAGTCTGTATTCCTAAACATCGTAAAACATATTTCAATACTTTTGCAGGTGTGGTTGGAAGCAAAATCATTGTTTTTTAAATGAGGGTGGTGTTAGAACATTTAGATAGAGATTATACATATATATTGTATTTTTTAGCCAATGCTATCACAATGAGTGACAGATTATACTTCAGTTTGGTTTAATTCTATATCTTGTTCATATTGTTTGTGTGAAATGAAACAAAGTAGGGATTCAGTATGATTAATAAAAAGATAGGTTTCGGAGCCCTTTTCTGCTAATTTCTTTAAATACAATTGGACAAAATTTACCTTGTGCAAATGGTTACAGTGAGATTTTGTCTTAGTTTTTGAAGTGAGTAACACTGGCTCTTAACTTTACAAACCTTCACAATTGGCCTTTACAAGCCAACTAATAGTCCCACCTGGCCCAAAATGTTTGATACCAGAGAAGAGAATGCCACACAGAAGAAAAAAAAACCCTATTTGAAAAGCTATCCAGCTTCATATATGATATCTTTATGGTGTATTCATTCCTTGTTACCTTTGTATCTCATCTTAACTCAAAAGTTCAGCGTGACCTTCTAACCGAACACAATATTTAAGACAGGGCAACTTGACAAATGAACTTAAGAGCTAAGAGAATTTCACTCCCAAGCATGAGCCAACTCAACATAATTGGCTAGTCTTAAGATATGGCAGGCCTCCACATAAGCATATATCCAAATGGAAGATTATAGTAACTTATTACATTACTTACTTATTAAAGTAACTTACATCATTGGTTATTTGCTTCCTTAATAGTATTTTTTGGACAAAGATGCTATACCATATTTTTCAGAGATAAATTTTAAAAAAAAGTTTTTGCACTCTGTAGCCCTCACAAACCCTCTGCACGCCTCATTTTTTTGTTTGAGAGGTCTGCAAAGTGCTCCTGGGGACTGTGGGGGAGGGAAANCAATAATTTAACAATAATTTAACAATAATTTAACAATAATTTAACAATAATTTAACAATAATTTAACAATAATTTAACAATAATTTAACAATAATTCAACAATAATTCAACAATAATTCAACAAGGTTGGATGACTAATAACAAATAAGTACTAAAAAAACCCATATATTTTTATGTTTTCTTCATAGTATGAATGATTATTTTTAAAACAGCACAGAATAGATATGAAACAATAACATTTTATTTGGACCAAGGACATTTGAGGGAAACCAAGTACAGTCAAGAGGGCATGTGCAACCATGTGACTGAAGCCCCAAGACTTTTTCACTTCCATTGTGATACACATAAAAAGGAGGCAGGGTTTCAACTGGAGAGTTGTGGCAATCATTTGAACAGTTTGGGCCCCTTGCATGCAAAAGGTGCATTCTTCTGCACAAAAACATTAACTCATCCTACAAAAACATAGTCTTCAGAAACATTTTCACTTCCATTATTCCTAGGTGGCATGGATTATTTGAACCTTAACCAATCTGGAGACACTTAATTGAAGAAGATTATATTGAATACTTGCTCTGCTCTTTGATTCGTGATAGTACTTAGAAAATCTCCCCTTAAGAGCAGGAAGAAAAGATATATCTTAGATATAGCTCTATAGTATTAAGGAGTGGTTCAATTCCAGTGGAACTCTTATTCATATAACTACATAGAGAGAAAAACAATAACTAGAAGAGAAGAAGAGAAATAGTGTAGTACATTTATGGAAATACAATATATTCTAATGAAGCTAATTAGATATGTAAAAGTCTCACCTGATGTAGGAAACGGTTTGTACAACTCCAAATATTGTTCACCATGTAAAGCCTAAGGGGAAAAATATTTTTCACAAAATATAGAACTGAAATATACATCAAACTATTTTCTTAAATACATTACCAGTTTAATTTGGCAAAGTGGGGGGGCGGGGGGAGGGGAAACAGGACTAAAGTTCAAATTGAGGATTTTCCCAATAAAAGACATTAATTTTTTTATTTGTTGAAAAGTAATGAAAGTAATGAGGCATTACTATTTTATGGCCTTGTAAATCTTCATTGTCTGGAAGTGAATATGCCATTAGATGCAAAATATCCTTATCTCTTCCAAGGGTCCAATTTAAAAAGTAGTTTTCATTTAATTCACTTCCTTTTATTCCTTTCACTAAACTTTCAGTGATTGGGTATTGTTTTTTAAATCATATTGTCAGTATCCCTCATAGTTTGTTTATTTTTTCTTTCTTCTGAAAGTAGAAATTAAAGTGTAAAATACCTCAAGCTCATTACTACTTCAGTCTGGTTTCAAAAAAGCATTGAAAAAACACCTACACGAAATGTCTAGCAAAGCATATCCAATTACTTTGTTATTCCATCCCAATAAAATTATTGTGATGGCTATTAGGCTGCTGTGATATTCATATCAATGCTACAGAACTGAGTCCACCCGACTCCCAAACTTCCACATTATCTTGGACACCAAGGAAAAACGGGAAGCCAAACTATGGATTTGGTACTTTGATTTTAAAGTTTTATTTATTTTATTTTATTTTATTTATTTATAAAACTCTTTCCATTTCCCCATTTTGTACTGGCAATGAACACAGTTTTCTATTAGGTTGTAACATAAAACAAATTAGTTGCTCTATTGCATCCTTACTCTTGTTAAATCAACATTGAGTCCTGGAATACTGGCTATGCCACCATCAATCGTGGAAGCTTGTGCTGGTATGACTGCAAAAGTAGGAAGGCAGCAAAACTCTTCACTCCCTTCAAACAGGAATTTCAGATTATCCGGATCCTTGGTGGACATACCCACTCCAAGCGCATACAAAATGGGCTGCAAATGAGTGTATTCATATGCAAACTCGGGTAACTTGTGGCCAATGCTTTTTGCCTGTGGGTATTAAACACACATATTATTTGTTGATTTAGATGTTTAGCTACTAATATTTGCCATTAGTTCAAGGAGCTTAAAGTGTTTAAAGTTTGTAAATAAACACTTGCCATAAGTGATGATAATCATATCTAGTTCTTTCAAGGTGTATACATACTTACAGGAAAACACTTGGTTCACATTTCTCAGAAAAGGATTTTACATATTTTAACATCTATTTTATTTATATAAATAACAACACATTAAGCATTTTATTGACTAATACATTTTACCAACTAACATATAGGGCAACACTGTTGCTGAACCCCCACTGCCAGTAATTCTACTCAGTGTAAGAATGAGACACTCCTAATGTAAATGAAGGTGTGGGTCAGTTGGCGAGGTGGCGCAGTGGTTAAATGCAGCACTGCAGGCTACTTCAGCTGACTGCAGTTCTGCTACTTCAGCTGACTGCAGTTCTGCAGTTCGG